CCCCCCCCCCCCCCCGTCTGTAGATAGAAACAGTGAACGACGAGGGAGATTATCCACACAGACACCACTGCTGCACATTCCCTACAACTGATGATTACATAAACGCGCTAGAGTTTGGAGCTATGACAACAGACATAATATTGACTTTTTGGAAAAAGCCACTAAATGAGCCTGGGTTGATTAAATGGTGCTGCAGGAGTTTCCATGCCGTGTCTGTTCCTGCTACTAGAACATGTTACAGGCATGCTCCTACCAGATCCTCAACGATATCACAGGGTCTACGTGACTCCAGCCACACACACTCGTCACGCACTACTCGTAAACACTATAACATCAGGGTGGCTAAGAGAAAACACTGGCTACTATCCAGGGGGAAAATAAAAATAACCACCAACGAACAACAAAATATTCACATGCAAAGGTCGAAGTCCTTTCTTACATCGGTTACAGTAACCAATTTAATGTAAGTTTTTACTTCACTCAAACATTTACATTTTGCTGAACTATGAACAATGATGATTGGTCTCAGATGTTTGTTCCATTTTGACATCAGCCCTTTCTGAAAGATCACATTCAATGTTCTTTTAGGAAAATACATCTAAATTAGCTTTTACTTTGGTAGATTTTTATATAAAGATTTTGACTTCTACTTTATCAGTAATATAAATATCTACAAAGAAACACGTTTTATATGAGTATGATACTGAAGTGTTGATAAACTCTTAGTATTCATGTTCATGGAAGCCAGCCAGACACTGAGTTTTGACTGTCCTTACTCCCCTGTCACATTAACTCTTAACACCTGCTGCTGTCCAGTATGTTTCCATCACACAAAGCCTTTATCTGAACTGCTCCAACAGGTAGTATTACTCTACGTATAATCACATATAAACAGATGCAGCCACAGGCTCTCTTAACTGGATTAGAGGAAGCGCTGTGAATGAAGTTGAGCAAATTTTAATCACATGTGACATTCAGACAACTCACTTCGCCACGTACAGATGCTTTTCTGATCAAGTACAAAATAGAATAAAAAGAAAAGAAACTTAAGACAACTATTAGAACTGAAAGGTTTTGATGAATAAGATATAGTTGATAATAAAACATCAACAGTGCGACTATATAGTTCATTAGTTTATTTCTAATTACAAAAGGTACATCCAGTAAATGAGCCAGCTGTGACGTCATGTTGCTTGTATTTACATCCTCTAAATCACATTTAACTGGATAACGACGACTACGATACAAGTCTAGATACTGTGGATAATATGGCAGAACTGAGTGTTGTAGCTACGTGAAATAAAATATGATTCAAAACCTTGAAATTATCTTGAAAACATCAACAGCGCGACTATTTAGATGTGGTTTGGGAAATGTTACGTTAACTGGGGATGCACCGATATGTATCAGCTGAACATCGGTATCGCCTTGTTGACTGACATCGGCAAATAAGACGGATTCACTGATATCAGATGTTTATCTGAGCTGCAAGCTGCGAATATATAACAAAATACGAGAATACTAATGTATCCTATGAGTTTTATGGTACTCTGTACTATTTCTGAAGAAGTTGTACAAGGAACAGATATTTTCTTATATAATTTTGGTCCAACTATTTAATGTTAGAAGGAAAACAGTCAATGTTTACAATAGTTATGAAGCTGAAAGTGCAATCATACCCTCAACAACCTCACCTCTCATAACCCAAATATAGAAAACAGTCAGAACCCAGCGATAACAAAGCCGTCGACCAACTCACACCACTTCCAAACACACCCTCACCTGTGCCAGAGACCTGTACACGGACAGCGGTAGGTCAACCATGCGCAGGGCAGCCGCCTTGACAGACAGCTGGGAGTTTGTGAGGGTCTCATGTGTCATTGTGGCGATCTATCCATGACTTGGCAGCTCCCTTATCCTCTTCACCATTCTGCTGGACCTGAGGAGGATGACAGGAGGGAGTGACATGCAGGGATTTAACCTTGGCGGCTTAGGGGGATATCCTAGGGGATATAATGACGATATTACATAAAGCCTCTAACATGTATGTGCAAGTAGCAATGCTTGCCTAACCCGAGTAGAGTAGCGGCTAAACAACCACTTGTGTCTTGTTAAAATACTCCCTGATTTCACAAAATGTTTCATTAATTTCACAATTATCACTTGCATGACAACTATGATGAAAGAACTGACAGAGCACACCCACTAAAAAGGTATGAGAATATTTAAAACCCTACCTTACATTGTACACATGCCTGAACAAAGTGGCTGAAGTACATGAGAAAGTCTTTATCTTTCTGCAAACACAGTGTTGCTTTCTCTAAACACAGTCACTCGCTACAGGACCGCATCTTCTAAGCCGCTGTAATATCCACCTGACGAGACAACATGCAACATCCAATTAAGTTTGCGCGAGAGACTCGTGTGGCTCATCACATGGATGATCATCCACCCTGAACTAAATGTAGATTGATGTAATGTTACAGGTTTTTGTGTCTCTTCCCGTTCAGACTGATATCCAGTTTGAATTTTGTGAACAGGAATGAGATGTCGCAGCTGGAGGGACGGTTTGCATGGGAATTAATAGGAGCAAAATGTCTAAAAACATGGATATACTGCAGACAAGTGCAATACTGAAGAGGCAGAGATCTGGGAAATATGTATATATCCAGGGTGTCTGCATTAAACCACCAGTAAATAAAGACCAAAATTAATTTTTTAACTTGGTAAAAGACATTATGGTAAGTATTTAGACACTAATGTTACACCATTTCTCTACTGAACATCTATTACTTTTATTCAACATAGAGAAACTTATGACTGTTTCTTGCCTATTCTTTTTACTTATTTATTTATTCATACTTGTATTGTACTTGTATTTTATGCCATTATATTCTATTTCAAGTTATTTTATTATCCTCTTCAGTGTGTTTTAAATGTTGTAACAATTAAACCTAGAAGAGAAAATGTAGTTAAACAAAACAAGGACTGCAAGTCAAGAAGCATTAACATAAAATAAGAAAATGAACACTAACAAAGAAAAAATATATATTATAAAGACAATAAAAATCATTGTTATTCCCACTTTACAACAAAGATTGAAATATCCAAAGTTATATATGTAATAGTTATAGTTATATATATATATATATATATATATAGCTTTCAAACATCAGCACAATACCAAAAACATATTCCAGTAAATTAGAGTTTCAAAGATGTTTTCAAGGTACAAAAGCAGCCAAATATGTGTGAAACAGTCTTTAAGTTTAATTATATATTGAGTTTAAGCACATGGATGATAAACTCCTGCTGTTGGCCTGTCTGAGCAGCTAACAGCTAACTTATCTAACCAGGCTAAAAACAGCTCGCAGCGCCTCCGACCATCTAAAAACTCCTCAATTTGACTGACTGTCTTCTGACTGCACATGACAAAGTTGGAAGTATAAACGGTATCACCGGTACATTTAGAGGTTTCCTCCACAGACTCTCCTCTCCCGGTGGTTTTGAGCCGGTCCTCTGGCTGACCTCAGCGGCTGCAGACTGAAGGACTCCAACGACAGAGCAGACGCTGCTCCAGCGTGAGTTTCAAAATAAAAGCATGCTTTCAACCCCCCCAACCTCCCCTGTCGTCTTTTGTGGAGTTTGGCGCCCCCACTCGGTTTTCTCAAGTATTACATGTACTATTATTTCACCAGGGATTTTACCAAAGCAAAATGATACACAAAATATAATGAAATATAAAAATTATTAACACCAAAAGTACAATAATAAGAGCAGAGTAGAGGCCATAACAATAAAACTGTATGTATTATTTCACTGTTTCACTTTTCTTTTTTTTTGCACTACCATAAGTATTGTATATTGTATATTTTATATTATTGTATATTTTATATTTTATTGTCTATCTTTTTTTTATCTTTTAGCATTAGTAAATGTCTTGTCTGTTGTGGAATTTGAATGTTTACTTTTTCAGTATTAGTAATGTTCTTGTCTGTTGTGCCTGTGTAATTTTTTTATCGTGGGAGATTAATGAAAGTCCTCGTCGATTACACTTAATATGTCTGGCGCATGTGAATAATTGAACAATAAAAGCGACTTGACTATTTTGACTTTAAGCTGTACTGTAATATTCATAGCCCCTGTTTATAACCTATATTTATCCCTAAACTATACTGCTGTATTTATTTTTTTGTCCTGTTCAATTATTTATCTTTGTAACCAGGCCATACTCCTGCTGTGAATGTGAATGCCATAATCAATCACATCTGTAAAAAAAAAGCTGTTATATAGTTTACATACAAACTCTTATTCACTTGATTATTTGTCATTCCTTTGTAATTATTCTAAACTCTGCAACACCCAAATCTTAAAACTCATTTCTATTTATTTCATTTCTGTCAGCAATTTATTTATACTATTATTATCTTATTATATCTCTTAGGCTCTTATTATATTTATATTTTTATTTTTAATTTTAATTTTATTTTTTTTACTATATGTATAAACCTATACATTAATTTATATTTTGTATATTATGTTAGATATTGTATATAAGTACTATTTCTTTAACGTTGTGTGAGTAGAACAACTGTAACAAACAAATTTCCCCCCTATTTCTGAATATTGTCTTATTCTATTTTTTTTATATTTTCATTTTTATCTTGTATTTTTCTGTAATTTTATTTAATGTGTATTTTAATTTGTTGTGTTGTATCTGGTGCTGCTGTAGTGAGTGAATTTACCCAGTGTGGGTATAATAAAGTTTATCCTATATTATCTTGAAAGTAAAAAGATTAATGTTGCACCAATTCTCTATTTCCTTTATTGAATTGGGATTACTGATTACTGTGTTTCTTGCCTTTTCTTTATTGTCAACTTGTATGTTATTGTATTTCATATCACTATATTCTATTTTAATTGAATTTATTTTCCTCCTCAGTGTGTTTTACATGTTTTAATAGTTTTCTTTGCCTTATGTGAAGCCCTAAGAATTGCCTCTGCACTGTACAAATAAACATATCTTGTCTTGATACGGATTTCTATTCCTACTTTACAACAAAGACTGAAATATCAGAGTTTTTCACCAGGATTTTTTCTTGGTGTCCTTAAACATAGAAAGAGAAAAATGTCATTAAAGAAAAGAAAGACTGGAGATCAAGAAGCAAAAACAGAAAAAAGAAAATTAACAGTAATATAAGAAAGAATATTATAAATACAACAATAGACATTAGCTGTTATTTTAAATTGAAGCTGAATAGTTTGTGCAGGAATGTGAAAAGTATTGTATAAAAGATATTTGCAATGGGCACAAAAACCTTTTTTTTTAAAGTCAAAATTATACTATTATTCCTAGAATACTTTTAAAGAGGTCAACATCTTATTTTCTAATATCTTTTAATTTCTATCTCATTTTTGTATTTTAAAAAGTCAAATAAAGTTTTTACTTATTATGTTATACTTTGACTTTGTATAATTTTTATTTTAAAAGCTAACATTTTCTCTTACTATCTCATAAAAATGACAGAATGTTTTATTTTTAACCTAGTAAGACAACATTTGGACTTTTTTAGTCAAAATTGCCTTATTACTTATGAGCCTGACTTACATTGACCTAACCGTGTATTTACCAGTATTACTTTGTTATTGTCATTTTTGTCATCAATTTATTTCTTTACTTGGGCTCCTATTAATTTAAAAAGTATAATTTATTTCTTAAAAGTAGTGTTATTATGTATTTATTATTTCCTCCTGTCAACTTACAAATAAGCATGTCAAAATTGTTTTGAATACACTAAATGGTTTCGGTAGAGGGAATGTTATACTACTTACATTATTGCTATTATTGCTATTACTATTATATTATATTAAATTATTTGTCTCACTTTTAATCTAGTCATACTAGGTTCTGTATTCACTGTTTTTTAAACTGTGAAATTTTAACTTTAGCTGGAGGCTTCAAACAAGCCCAGCAGGGTTCTCCCTGCACTTTAAACCATTTCCTATCACTGTGATGTGTATATATTCTATAAAATGTGCAAAATAAATAAAACTAAGACGCTGGATGGCGCTAGGGAGGGGTTTACTGCATACTGCTCTTACTATTTCCATCACCAGGTGACCCTCTTTTCACTCTTTTCCAGCCCACATTAGAAAAATAAGACAAAAGACAATATCATCACAGTCACTATTTATTTAGTAACATTACATATATCTGCTATAATAAACTAGCTTAAACTGTACATTTTATCTTTTATATATATATATATATATATATATATATATAAAGTTATAGATTTGTTCTTAATATATGTTGTTTGTATATAATGAAAATAATTTCCCCCTGGGATTATTAAAGTATTTCTGATTCTGATATAATGTCACACATGAGCTCTTATTACATTATTATTAAGACATATAAATAATACCATCCCCCACTGTTATAAAGTATAAATATACCTTAAAGTGCAGTATAAAGAGCAGAAAGCTGACTTTATCACTGTTTACAGCAGCACTGGGAGGGTTTATATAGGGGTTTAAACCGGAAGGGGGCGGAGTCAGCCGTAACGTTAGCAACCACGCTGAGGGACGGTTAATGTGGAGGATTACTGTCTGAATATGTCTCTAAACTCACACTGAATCCGACTCCACACAGCCGCTACAACTGGATCTACCGGACTAACGTCGGTTCTGTTGTGTCTCGTCGTGCAGGTAAGGATCGAGGTTCATGTTCAGTGACTGTGGGATCGTCGGGGATCCTGTAATACAGCAGGGGGGGGAGTTAGCTGGCCTGCTACTAACGAGACGGTTATCAGAAAAAACCCTTCAGCGCACCTGAACTCTCCCAGCAGCATCTAACGTGGCTGCACGAACCCGCCGCTTGTTCTGGGCGTTATTTAAAGTGCCAGGGCGAAGTTGCAAAGCGAGATAATAACGGGATGGCCGATTATTCGCGACAGGCTAACGCTAAAAGGTTGCTGTCAGCGCCTCCTCGCCTGGGTTTGACAGCTCGACTGGAGCAGTGGACGAGGCCTCACACACACTGTAACACACACTAATGATGACACACACTGTAACACATACTGTATGTATCTCACATAAAACATCTACCTGCTATTAAAAAACAAACAAAAAACACCTTCCGAAACAAGTTGGCGGCTACTTTTAAAATTAAAAACGTCGCGCAGACTAACATCTAGCAGCCAGGTAACGTTACGTGTGCAACATGAAACCTGATGTCCATCCTTTTTTAATGGGTAATACTTGTTGTTTTTTTTTTTTTATTAAACTGTGCTATTAGGTGTTTAGGTTTACTATTTGTGCAGCGTTGCGGCGTTGAAACAAAATTGCGTTGCGTTTAACACGGAAACTGGCACCAAAAAGACTCATGTGCACCGCCCGGTTTGGGTCAACGCCCCACCCGGCCTGCACCTCCTCTTTGTGCGGGATTAAAAGCTCCTGCATGCTGCTGATGGGGGCTGTGAAGACTGTGAGAGAGGTCAGGATGGTTTTCGGGATGGTGAGAGAGTTTTGGGGGGGGTAGATATTGTGTGTTTACTAGTGGAGGCACACTGGGTTTGATCGTTTGACCTTTCTGAACGGATGCAATTAAAGGAGCCTGTAACACAAATATAACCTGCTCCCTTATCGGTTTGTTTTGGATTTACTGTATGCAGGGAACACAAAGAAGCTGTACTTCATGTAAACCAGTATGATTATTAGACTCATTGATTATGTGAGGAAACAGGCAGGAACGGGACTTTACAAGCATTGAACTTTTCCTGCGCTTTAATGCCTGATCCTCCACTTGACCTGCCTTTGTATAATGGTGTGTGTGTGTGTGTGTGTGTGTCTCTTTGTGTGTGTGTGTGTGTGTGTGTGTGTGTGTGTGTGTGCATCCGCTTCTTTGCGTGGCAGATTAAAATCACAGTTTTGTGTCTTCAAGCGAACGTGTGGATCCCTGAGTCGACACAAACGATCACCTTATCAACCATAAAACACAGCAGATATCAGGCAGCGCTCCTCCTCCTCTCGGCTCTCTTATATATGTTTGTTGACAAACCAGAGCTGTACAGTTCAGGTAGGATGAGGTAGTTTTTTTTTACCCATGTTGCTGTGGTTCAAATGTGCTGAATCATGTGCGGCGTTAGAGAGCTGTGGGCTTGGCTCTGCTGTCATCATACCCTTGACACTCGAACACTCCTCCAGAGCCCAAATGTCAGCGCGCAGCCTCCCGCCGGACCCTCACTTTGTGGCCTTGCCGAAAGCAGTGTGGTCCACAGACATTATTTGTGGGCGACACACATATTAACATTAAAACATTTAGGTCTGAAGAGGCCTTTTCAACCAGAGGAAGTCTTTTTTTTTTGTTATTACACGTGACGGTAGCTGTAGTGACTCCTGGAATAAAGTTTTTAAAGCTTTGTTAATATATTATTACATATTTTAAGCAGCAGAGTGAATTCTTTCTCATACATTTTAACCTAACCTGTAATAATCATTGTTACTTACTCCCTTTAGGGCTGTCGGAGGCAGTTTGTGAGCTGTGTGTCCATTTGTGGAGGAGATGGGTGCGGCCTTTCT